TACTTGCATACTTGACCAGTTAACTACCTTAGGCATAATGATCTGACTAATTAATAAGTGCTCGTAAACATGTTTGTCATGAATGATCAGTAATGGATCTTTTAAGGATTTAGGGCGGGTACGTGCTCATCTTAAATCTGTATTTTCTTCGAATAATTATCTATTTTAATTGTTGTACGTATCCTATAATTTTTTGTGTTCACCTCGTACAAAAATTTTATTTGATTAATATATGTGTACACCCTAAAAATATTTTTGGATCCGTCGTAAATCATTCATCGACGATAATTATAACAAGCAATACTACGAGACTATGGATATTGATAAATGAGTAAAATGAACCAGTTAGTAAGCATTTGCATAATTAATATGATTGCCACGAATAATCATTGAGATGTTTTTGAATATGAACGTAAGTGTTGAGTACATTGGTGATTTTTATGAGATTAATCTGAGCTCATAATGTTCTAAAATACTTGTGTAATTAAATGTTTATAACCATAATTTGATTTATAAGTATGATGTGATTTATGTTAACATGGTATAATTATGCATAATTTTTTTTTTAATAGTTTATGATAATTATAAGATAGTATTTGATCATAATTTTTCTAATCTAGAGATAATACATACATAATTTGTAGACAACATGTTGCTCGAATCTAGAACCTTCAAGGAAAACAATATAGGTTATGATTATGTTTGATATGCTCTGTTAAATGATAATTGAAGTATGTATGTTGTGTGAATGTCTGATTATTATCGATGTATGCCATTAACTTTTAAATTCTTTTTTTTTAATTATGAATAAAGATGAATGCATAATTTTATGTTAGGGGATATGAACTCATAAAATTATAGATAGTGAATCTATAAAATTTTAAGAGAAGAAAATAAATTATCAATGAAAATTATAATAAAATATTTAAATTATGTAAGAATTAAAATTTTCATGGGACAACCCAACCATCCAAAGTTCAATCATGACGATGGATATCACATTTAAAGATTTAAAAGACTGTGTGTGATTTTATCATCCATTTTATTTGAAGGTTGATATGATGATCCAATATAATATTAATGTGTAAATATTTATGAAAATATTACTATTTAAATAAAAGACATATTTTTCTCATGTGAATTGAATTTAGCTTAATTGATATTATAACCAGTACATTATACAAAAAATGTGAAATCAAATATGCTAAAACATTTAATCTTTCAAATAAAGGTTATATGATTAAAAATAACTAAACAATATAAAATGTGAATTTTCAATTAAAGAAACAAGTTGAGCCCCTTGCTTTCCTCGTCTTTCTATGAAGTTGAATGCAAGTTGGTGAGTACTTGCCTTACGCGTGTGAATAGGCTTTAGGAAATTGGGGGCTGCGTTCCATTTAAAGAAACTCATTACTTTTTTTTATATAACTTACTGTATCTGATTTATTGATCAATTAATTCAAGTTGGATATTACAGAAGTAAATGTTACTCTTCTAATTCATTTTTCTCCATTCACAACCGTCAAAAGTTAAATTTTTAATCTTACTTAATGGATCTAATATCTCATTTCAATAGATCAGCGGATGTTAGTCAAACTCTTTAACTTTATGTGTTATGCCCTCCCTCCCGTAAACGCCAAAATGAAGGTTACCGGTTTAATTAAAGGGGGCTAGCTAGGTGCTAATCATTTCATTTTTATAATGTAAAGAATTGCATTACCAAGTCTCTTTAATCATGATTTAATAAGCGGGAAGCTTTCTCTAACAAGGAATGGTCCCTTCTTCAAATAATCAAACATGGATTCGACCCCCCCCCAAAAAAAAAACAAAAAAAAGGACCGTACTACCGGCACAAATCCACCCTGTAAGTTCCAGTGTCGTACACTTCACACGGTTATCGTTGTCTCATAATTTAGAATTACTAATACCGTCTAAAAAGACATGATCACCCATTTCTCATATGAATTTTCATTACTAGGCTTCCTCTTTCCCTTTTGGATTCCATTCTGGGTAACTAATGAATCAAACAGACAAGAGGAAGGTGAAGTGGGGCCTTTGTTTTTAAGAGCACCGCGTGGCGTTAGCCTTACACTGCAAACAGTGCGGAAAATAACACACGCCACGGTTACGGTGATTAGCCCAGTATTGATGAAAATAAATTTGTTTTTGTCGATAATTGATGGTTTAATCCTTTTCGTTTAGGTGAGAAATTATAACTGGTGAGGGAACGGATGTTTTCATAGAATAGAAGTTGATTATAGAGGATGAAGGAGATAATATGGAGGTCGTGAGGAATCTAATCCATTATCAATCTTTATTAAGGCATTTATAACGATTTCTGTTGTATGTGTCAATCAAAATCGTAAGATCATTATAACTATTTACAAACTAATAAGATTAGACTAATATGATTATCATATTTTAAAGGTTTAAACTAAAAAAATACTTAAATCTTACCAATTTTTTATTTAAGTACCTAAATTATTTTTGATCAAAATGAGTCCTTAAACTATTATATAAAATCTCTTACTTTAACTATTTTTTTTTATCAAAATAAGTCTTAAGCCCCCAAAATAATTTTGTATAACGTGTCAATATATTATTAATCAGAAATTAATTTTTTAACTAAAAAAACGAGGACTTAAAATAATTAAATATAATAGTTAAGTACCTAGTTTAACAAAAATAATAATTTAGGTGCCTAAAGAAAAAAATCATAATCTAAATACTTGCTTTTATTTTAAACCAACCCAAAATTATATTATGATAGGTCACATGTTTATCATGGACTTTTATCTTTAAAACCAGTCTAAAAATAATTAAGGGTTTGTGCTAAAAAACAGAGATCCTTGATAGCTCCAATAATAATAGTAATAATAATAAAGAAGTTGTTTTGAAAACCTTGATTGATTTTGAAGATTATATTAGAACGTAGAACACCTAGTAATCGTAGTAGGATGGAACTATAAATGATTTTGTTTTCAAGGGTTAGAGCGTAGGGGGATTGTCTCTGGAAAGGCGGATTAATATACGGCGTTATCAGATACATTAAAATATATTTGATAAATTTAATTTAGCGCTACCGGAAATATCTAGTAATAATAATGTAATAGGTGGAAATCATGAAGAAATATTAAAAAATTTGACAACCGGCAAACTTAGATTGTCGGTTTGTGTCGATACTTTATAAAAATATATTAATCAATAACAATATAACAGATAAAAAAAATGACAAAACCGGTTTATAAATGACAGAACAGGTAAAGCGCTACCGGATATATTGAAAGTGTCGATACTTTATAAAAATATATTAATCTATAACAATATAACAGGTAAAAAATGACAAAACATGTCTATAAATGACAAAACAAGTAAAGCGCTACCGGATATATTGAAAGTGTCGATACTTTATAAAAATATATTAATCTATAACAATATAACAGGTAAAAAAATGACAAAATCGGTCTATAAATGACAAAACAAGTAAAGCGCTACCGGATATGTTGATAGTGCCGATACTTTATTATAAGTATCGACACTTTTAGAATTTAAAAGAGAAGAAGTTATAGCGTTAATAAAGTGTCGATACTTTATAAAAATGTATCGATCCATAACAATATAACATGTAAAAATATGATAAAACCGGTATCGAAATGACAAAACCGGTAAAGAACTACCGGATATGTTGAAAATGTCGATACTTTATTATAAGTATCGACACTTTTGAAATTTAAAAGAAAAGAAATTATAGCGTCAATAAAGTGTCGATACTTTATAAAAATATATCGATCCATAACAATATAACATGTAAATATATGACAAAATCGATCTCGAAATGATAAAACCGGTAGTAAAAAAGTGTGTTTGTGTGGTCATTTTTATTTCAGAATTTTCATTTTTTAATACAAAAAGTTGGATATTTTAAGCAAAACCCAATAAAAAAAGAACAAAAACTTTTCAGTAACAAAATAATAACATTGAGAAACTCACTATGTTATCAGCTTATTAAAAAACAAAAATCCAGAAACAGACATCTCTCAACGCAAACTTATGATATACTTTTATTATCTCGATAGGATAAAGTTAGGTCAGTTTTAGTTTTATTTTTTTGGTTAAGATTTTGTGTCATTGAAACTGTTGATTGAATAATTCAAATTGGTGCACGCATAAGTGTCGATCAAAAAAATATCGAAATCGATAATTATTATGTAACAGGTAAATTTATAATGTAACCGGTAAAAATATACTGGTTAATTAGCAAGTAGGTTTACATTATGTATCGACACTCTTTAAATATGTGTCGATACTTTTTTCCCAAAATGAAAGCACAACAAGGTGCACGCATAAAGTGTCGATACATTTAAAATTATATTAATCTCAAAAACATCAAAACCGATAATTATAATGTAATAGGTAAATTTGTAATATTACCGGTTTAAATATATCTGTTTAGTTAGAAAATAGGTCAATATAAGCACTACCTATTACATTATATAAGCGTTACCTAATATATTATTGTACTTGATAATATTTTCGATTAAATGATATAACATAACCGATCTAAATTTTAACCAATCATTTATTTAACAAGTCATTCCATTTTTTAATAGTTTTTTCGGCGCCGCATAAGTTCCCGGTGTAAAGCTCGTCATACCCCAAAACCGAAAGAGATGCCCCCGATTCCTAATTAGTTGGGCCAAACAAGGTGGGAACAAATAATTAAGCCACGCCCATTTGGTTACCTTTTATTTTTACGAGGGTTGTTTCATTGTGCCCCCACAAACAAACACATAGCCATCAAGTGGGTTATACTGTAATTTCCTCTCCCAAACTAACAAATCACCTCTGCACTACCAACCTTACAACCCAGTTTCTCGCACACCTTCACTCACTAAAAACAGAGAGAGAGAGAGAGGAATGGTGTTTCTAGGCTGTATAAAGAAGCTAAAGCTAAAGACTATATAAAAAAAACGAGTGAGCTTTCACAAGTCCACAACATATAGACTCACTGTCTCTCTCTCGGGGAAGAGAGAGAGAAACAAAGCTGCAAAAGAATGCAGAATGAACGAGTTGAACTCACTGCGAATACCGAGTTGAGTTAGGGTTTCGAGATTCCCATCCACTGCTTCATCACCGACATGTCCAAACGCTATGCTACTGTTCATTCTCTCTTAAAAAAGATAGCCATTAAAGCCTCGACCCTAAGTTATCAGTTGTGAAAGCTGTAACATTTACTATCTCTTTATTTCTCTCTCTTTCTTTCTCTGGGTTTACTTTCTTTTCCTTTCCTTTTTTTTTACTTTGTTGTTGACAGATATCATCAGTTGCAAGCAATCAAACCGACAACAAAAACGACAACGTAGCCTCGCCGGAACATGTTGGAATACGAATGGGGAAACCCGTCATCGGTACTGTTATCGGGCGAAGAGACAACCCAAGAACTCGACCCGAATCGTCAGATTTTTCATCACTATGCCACTACCGACCAACCTTTCAATGGAACTCTCCTTTCCCATCAAAACAGCACCGTTTTTTCTCACCCAAACCACTTCCATAGCCCTAACCAAGCTCAACCAAACGCCAATTTTCATTCATTATATGACCCGCACTCCTACTCCGGCGCCTCCGCGTACTCCACGGTCCACGCTTCCTTGCTCTCACTGGACCCTGTTCCCGGCGTTGGAGGAGACGGAAGCGGTTACTTTCTTGTTCCGAAGACGGAGGAAGTTCAAGTTCCTAGACCTGTTGATTTCACGGCGAGGATTGGTCTCAACTTGGGTGGCCGTACTTACTTCTCCTCCGCCGAAGATGACTTTGTGAATCGGCTCTATCGCCGGCCCAGGCCCGGAGATCTCAGCTCAACCAATTCCCCCAGGTGTCAAGCCGAGGGTTGCCACGCCGATCTTACCCACGCTAAGCACTACCATCGCCGCCATAAAGTCTGTGAGTTCCATTCCAAAGCTTCCACCGTCATGGCCGCCGGTTTAACTCAACGATTCTGCCAACAGTGCAGCAGGTTGAAGAATTTTAAAATTAAAAAAAAAAAGCATTTCTTATTTTGGCAGTAATAAATCATATTAGTGTGTGCATATTGCATAAGCTCTCTGAAAGGGAGGGTTGAGGATAGTGATATATGTTTGAAATGACGGACGTGCCCCTTTAGCGGTTCTGTCGGCCAATGATTGCCCACTCCTTTACATGGGGTGATCCCGAGGGTATATCTGTCCGTGAAAGCTCCATTTTCCCTCCGTTTCACGTATCATTTGTTGGTGGTATTAACTAAAAGACACATTAATTAGTGTTAGATTACTGAAAAAACCTCTACACGCCTTCATATTTTCAATACGTTCCTGCAATCTTTCTATCTCTTCTTTTCATGCGAATATGGATGAAGCTCAAGATAACGAAAGTGCCCCTGGGAGTTATGTAAATGAGTCCAATGATTAGTTCTACCGTTCTCGTAGAAATCCCGAGGGTATTATCGTCTGAGGATCATGCTCTCTAATTCTATATTCTTAAAACGTTTTGACAGATTCCATCTACTGTCGGAATTCGACAATGGGAAGCGTAGCTGTCGGAAGAGACTGGCTGATCACAATCGACGGAGGCGAAAATCTCAACAGCAACCCAATACTAGTCAAGAGAACCAGAAGCATCTCCCCTCATCTGATAATCACCAAAGTAGGCCATTTTATAATCCCAATACTAATTGTTTTGTTTCAAAATCTGTTTGTAATTTGTTTGTTGATTATTGCAGGGTCACCGCCGGATTCGGGGGTTCAGTCTTCTTCTTCAGTAACGGTGGCAGTATCGCCACCGCGAATGTCATTGGATTGTTTCAAGCAAAGACCTTACAATGGAACGGCATCTTCATCATCGTCCGCCACACTTTTTTTCTCACCTGGGTAATTGCTAACAAGTAATGCCATTCAACCACATATATATATTATAGACAATGAAAATATTGGAAGAAGGTAACCAAGGAATCAGCTTTTGCAATAACAAGTTGAATGTACTGTCCTCCTCCCTTATTATTATCTCTGAAAGTTCAACATTGCTTTAATATCAGAAAATTATGATTAATAGAGTGTGTAATATTTGCTATTCATTATATTATTTTTGCTTTGGGTCTACTTTTTACATTTTGGGAATGGTATTATTACCCTTTTGTATGGTTAATGGAATTTTCCCGGATAATGTATAAGCAAAGAAAAAATAGGAAAGTAGGCCACATGGTACGATTTTTTCAGGAAAATTCAAAGTTGGGGAGGTGGGGGACTAGGGGTGTGGGGCTAAGGTGGAGATGAAACGATCAAGTTGTCTCCTCCATGGAGGCCGATCGTACCGAAGCAGAGTTATGATTATAATTAGTGATATATTCGAAAATATTTTTTTAAATAAAAACACATATATAATAATATAAAATTTTTAAATAAGTTAAATATAAATAAAATTTTAGAAAAATACAATCCATATGAAAGATAATAACTAGATAACATTTAGATTTATAAACATGTGTTTAAAAAAGTTTGTGGATCCGCATTGATTATGTTTTATATAAGAGAAATCAATGAGATGTTTGTAATATCATCATTATCATTCAGATATGTGTGGCTATAATTTTGTAACGGCTTGTAGACTTTACAGAGCGGTTGAAGATGTTGCATGTGGCCCTTTGGGTTGGGACCTACTACAAGACAAAACAATCACCCTGACTAGATCTCAACCTTGCAAATTTAACATTTGATTTGATGGATCCCAACCACGGTATATAAATGATTTCAGCATTGACATTACTATACCATACCATACCATATGAATGGCTTAATTTAAAATTTTAATTATAGAATATTCTAGTTTAAAGGGTGGGGGAGCACTGGTCCTATTCTTAAGGTTTTAGATATTAATGTCTGTGTCGTATTCTTGTAGGCGTTTTTTTAGTCCGTACAGAAGATTTGATAACGAGGCTCTTTGTTAAAGGCAATGAAAGCATGTTTGATTTGGTAATAAAAAAGTGGGTTGGGACATTCGAGAGAGGGAAGTTGGCACTTTGTGCCCAAATGATGACATGTTTGTGTTTTTTTTTTCTCGTGAGCGTTATCAACAAGGGAAAGGGGTGGTTTGCCTTCAAGGTTGTTTTAAATCTCCTTGTAATTTCCAGGAATTTAATTGTGGGGTCCTTACCCTACCTGTTTACACGTCACTGTTTTAACCTAAAGCCTTCTTTTCAAAAACCCTAGTAAACTTGTATCTAATCTACAGGTAAACGGTGGAAGATCGTTTCTTATCTAAACGCAGTGACAAATGTACCCTTTATTTAGGGTGGACACATAATTTCTCTAAAATCTAAGAAATGTTATTAGTTATTTATTTTTTTATTGTACTCACCTTAAAAAATATGTTCAGATACGTCGCAACTTAAAAGGTGAATATTTCAATTCGGTAAGAGTTGCCCTAATCAGTAAGCTTGAAGAGAAGAGTTCTAACATTACCATAACTGTGTTCGGCTGGCTTTGTAACGTCATTACACCATTGGATCAAGAATGTCCATATATGATGGAAGTTGAGTCCTATTTGTTCACGTTACTTTGGTTGATTACTAAACTTACTTATCTTGAGATTTATTCACGAGACTGATATAGAAGATATGATGAATAATTCGTTGATTAATGATTATTTCCACACTTATCCATAGGTTTAAAGTCGATCACAAGGCCGACCATTTGAACATATATAGGCGACCTTTGAGTGGGATTTGCATGTACAATGTGTATGTCGAGTAGAAATGGATCGAGAGGTGTTAGAGTGCAATTGTATCTCTGGAAATTTTAAATTTTCATCTAGTTTATGTATTTTTTTTCTTATATTTTTTATTAGTAATCTAACTTTATATCACTAAAGTATGATATTTCGCACTTCTTAAATTTTTAACATAAATTAATAATTTCGCACCCTTAACATAAATTTTTTTGTCTCTTCAAATATTATAGGTTCACATTTTATACATTTTAAGGGACGTATTCGATTGCTTTGATTTGATGTTCACCTTGAGTAATTTGTTTATTATTTTTAATAAGAATTTTTTTTGTTAGATAGTGAGAGTTCATATAAATTATACAAGGATATGGCTATGAACTTTTCAGAAATAGAGGTATATTAGGTTTAAATCATATTTCTGTTTTATAATAATTTTTTTCCTAAATGAGACTAAAAGAAGTAGGTTAGATCTGAACTTTTAAAACAGTTATTTGTATTTATTCTCACATTTGAGTTCTTGGTGCGTCAGTTTGTGTGGTAAAGAGTAGTGGCCATTCATCATACCACAACAAGTAGTCCCATTAACTTACAACTAGCCTTTAATTTTTCAGATGTTATTATCTTTTAAAATTTCTGTTTTACTGCTTCTCTTATGTCTAATCCTATTAACCCAAAAAGATATCTATATCTAGAATTGACCAGGAGTTGAATTTATTGAGTTACATTGGTAGTAAAAGAGAATATTGTATTTTTTAGATGATTCAGATTCGAATAATCACTCTTTAAAATTTTGAATTTATGAGATGACTATCCAGCTCAGTTGGTAGAGCACAAGGTTCTTAACCTTGAGGTCGTGAGATCGAGTCCCACGGAGGGCATTTCATAATTCAGAGATCTTCTACGAAAGCTGCTCTCAACCTGGTGTTGGGGGTAGCCTACTATTTTACCTCCCCTTTACCCCGTTACATATGGGAATAAGGGACAGTCATACTATCTTATAATCACATCAGACTATTAAAAAATTAATTGAATTTCTAAATATAATTAAAACACATATATGCTAAATTTACATTGCCCCAATTATAATTTCAATTTGCATGAAAACATTCTGCCTACGGGATTTCAAATTTGCGCATGCAAATTAGCTCATGGCCTACTGCCATTTGCAATTCAATTTGCGCATGGGTTTTGTTTCGTTTGATTATTTAATTTAGGTTTCGTTTAATTAATTAGTTAATTGAAGTTTCAAGTCCAGAATAAAAATTAACTAATTTAATTAAATATCTAACAGTTAAAGGATAAATTATTAAGCATTGGGTCTCTTTATAGGGTAATGAGTTTGAACCCTCCTTAAAAAGAATATTTTTCATTCACACTAACTAATAAAGTAGTGACACGTGTTATAATTTTATTGAAAAATAATAATTTATTAAAATAATCAAATATGTTTAATTGTTTTTCATTCACTCGCCCATCCTATAGTTTTTATCAATTATCGTGTGACTTTAGAGGTATATGTAATTATTAATATTCTCTAATGACGAATGCTCCATCAGCCAATGTGCATTATTTAATTATTATGGACAAAAGGGATCATAAAGTAGTGTGACAACTTTATGCATATTTTTGTTGGAGGAGAAGAATATGCCAAGATTGTACACTCTATTATTTATTTGCCTTTAAGAAGTCAAACATTATTCAAGAAATAAAATTAAAAATTCATTTTAAAGAAATGGAATTCTTAATTTGTACAAAAAATGTGATGTGAAAAATATAATAAATTTTTACAAAGTAATCCGTGGTTTGAAAATTAAAAGAAATATAAATATCTGAAATTTGAACCTAAGTTTATTAATAAAAATGATTACTATTATTTAATGAGGTAAGTTATGTGTTCACTTCTACTTTCCATTCCTTGTGTTTCGACAAAGAGTTGAAAGCAACGTTTCGGTCAGTCGCATATTTGCTTCATTAAAGGAGTGCAGTAAATCCCTTGGCTCCCCATCCTCCAGCTTTGTAGGGTACCCCAAACACATCTTTTCCCCCCACCCCTCAATAATTACCCTCTGTCAGTGCAGGCAACCCTAATTAAGGCTACGCTACCAACTGGCATGCACTGCCAAGAGCTTTGGGCCAGCGTTCATGGATGAACCCGGTCCGGGGAATGCTACATTTGTCTGCAGAGTTGCAGGTTGTAACAGTCATGTACGTAACATGTGTGTGTTTGGGTTTTGGGGGGGGGGGGGGGTTTAACTGATTTGGATTTTCGGAGGGAGGGATCACGTGCAATGCACGTGATCAGTCGGTGATTGTCCTTTTTGTGGGTGACTTGGCCAACAGTTCGGGGAGCCATTCCCTTCCCGGTTTGAATAATCAGATTTTGCTTCGTATCGGTGATTGAGCAGAGTTCACTTTTTGACTTTCATTATTGCTGTTTGTTGGGGTGTTGCCATCGATTTTGAAAGAAAACATTCCATCTTTAAATGTTATTACCTAAAAAGTAATAGGTAAAATCAGGGATAACTTTTTTTTTAAATAAGAAAGTAGGGATTATGGAACTTTATTTAAGGAAACGAGGTAAAAAGAAGGGTAAATTACATAAACTGTCAATAATTTTTGTAAAAGTTTTAATTTTCCATACTGAAGTTTCAGAAGTAACAAATTGGTCACTAAATTGTCATTAATGTTTGAGTAAGTTTTCGTTTTATTCACTGAAGTTTCAAAAGTAACAAATTTGTCACTAACTTTATCAATTTATAACAAATCGGTCACATGTCATTAACAGTCGTTACTGTAGTAACAAAATGCTGACATGGCGTGTTAAACCAGTTGACTTTTTCTTCACCCTTTGGCCGATCATTCGACTCTTTTTCTTATTCTTCTTTACCCTTTGACCTACCTTTTGACTCCTCATCCTCTTCTTCTTCTTCTTCTTGTATTATTTCATTTGTAATATTATTACTCGTTCAAATGAATGTAGGCAAAAAGTGGTCGTTGTGATATGGAAAATATCGTGGTGGCCATGATGACTATGGTTATCGTTGATCTCCAAGACGGTTACCATATCGAGGTTGTGATTACCCTCAAAGATATTCTCCTCAGTCTTCGTGGTGGAAGATCAAGGAGGGATCGTTCGTTCATATTCCTCAGTCTTCGTGGTGGAAGATCAAGGAGGGATCGTTCGTTCATATTCATCATCTTATTCTCGTGGTTCTAGGTGAAGCAT